TTCCGTTGTTGAAGTAGTCCGGCAGGGACATGTAGAGCACCCTGACGAGCTTGCTCTACAGGAAGGCGTTCTTCATGTCGAGCTGCATCAGGTTGAGGTTGAGGACAGCGACGATACTGAGGAAGATCCTGAGCGTTACGTAGCTGCCCACCGGCGCAAACGTCTCGTTGTAGTCGGCTCCATAAACCTGGGTGAAGCCCTTCACGACCAGCCTCGCCTTCTCGCGCTCGACGGTGTCGTCAACGTGGTACTTCGTCGTCAACACCCACCGGTTCTTCATGATGTTCACTCCCGACGGGCGTTCGACCAGCTCCCAAGAGCCCATGTTGATGAGGCTGCGGATCTCCTCCTCCATGGCGGCCTTCACCGCTAGGCCCTTCCAGCTCGCCAATGCCTCCTTCACCATCATTGTCGAGATGTCCCAACGGTGCTCGGGGTCGGCATGCAAGTTGGGGTCGAGCTCCGGAAACTCCTCATCCTCCTCGGCGTCGTCATACGCCAGGTCGTCGTCACCCACGCCGTACACTGTTGTGAAGGCAGCGGGGACGAAGAAGTCGGGCGGCCTCCGAAGTCAGCCTGACTTCTAGGGTTCAGGCGGAACCTCCACCAAATCACTGTCGGAGGACTTCTACCCTTCGTCACCGGCTTCGCTGCCCTCGTCGTCCTGCTGCACCTCAGCCGACTTCGTGGCCGACCTCTCCCCTGTAGTGGGCTCCTCTACCGGCTGCCTAGTTGCCGACTGCTCCGTGGTCGGCATCACCGCTGCCTGCTCACCTGGCGGCTGTTGCCCTATTGGTGTCTTCTCCATCGGCTTCACCGACTGCTCCTCCAGTGACATATCCTCGTAGAACACCACGTCCGACGTGGTGACCAGCCGGTTGTCGGCGATGTCGAGGAGCTCCCAGCCCTTGCTATCCTCTGACACGCCGAGGTGATTGCCCCACCTAGCCTTTGGCTTCAGCTTCCTACCACACTGCTGCTCAAGGACCAAGAACTGCGCCATGCAGCCCCACACCCGCGCCATCGACAAGTCAGGCTTCGTCCCGGTAAGGAGCTGGTACGGCATTGTCCCCGGCGGCAGCGTCGACCTCTCAAGGCAGATGCGGACCCAGACGGCCCGCCGCAGTGCGAGGTGCCACCAGTGGTGCTGCACGCCCATGTGCAGCAACATCGTCCGCACGGACTCCACCACCGTCCTCATCTCTCGCTCCGCCATGCCGTTCTGCTGCGGGGTGTACGGGCAGGTCAGGTCGTGGACGATCCCCGAGGAACTCCCCTCCTCGGTCCGAGTGCAGCATTAGCACGAGACACACGGTGAGTCGGCCCCCGTTGTCGACTTGAGGTCCAGCCCAATGGCGACCTCGTTCTTTGCCGAGCTCCGTATCGTGTCCATGCCGACATGGGCAAGTCTCGCATGCATCCTGGCCGGTGTCGACTTTGTCTTAGAGACGATCGCCCGCAAAGCCACAACCTCCGGCGTGGGCGACGTCGACCTCGTTGAGCAGGGACGCAGGTCGGTGCAGAGGACACGCTCGGAGTATGTCGCCCGACCAAGCACCTCCCCTGCTGCTGAGACGAGTAGCATCCCGTTGCCGTCCTCCTGTAGCTTCACGCTGTGCTCCTTCGGCTGGCCGGATGACAGCAGGTTGGCCCGCACATCCGAGATGTATAGCACTTCGAGGATGAGCACGTGCTTCCCGGCCTCCCCTTGTAGAGCAACAGTGCCACAGCCCTAGACGTCCTACAGCGACCCATTGAAGCCGCGCACGTGCTTGATGTTGCCACTCGGCTGCAAGTCGACGAAGACCTCCGTCGTCCCCATCAGGTGGTGGGAGCAGCCGCTGTCGAGCAGGTTCACCGCCGGGTTTGCCTGCACAGCTGTCGCCACCGCATGGAAGTCGTCTCTGACCTTCGGCGCCAGCGAGACAGTCGGCTCCTCGACGCCGACCAGCAAGCACGACGCCGTCTTGTCGTCCCACCCCTTGCCGCCAGCAGAGGAGTCGGCGTCCCTCGCCGAGGCCGACTTGGTCAACTCCTTCTCCTTGCGCGGCTTGTTTCCTCCACGAAAAGGACAACGGCTACCAGACCTCCCACGGCCTCCCTTAGCGTCGTCGTCGTCGGAGTCACTTCGGTTGGGGCACTCGAAGGAGAGGTGGTCGGGGTCACCGCACAGCCAGCACTCCCGACGTCGACCTCCTCCTCCTTGACCGTTGTCCTTGGTCAACTTCTTCTCGTTGACTTCCTTGGTCGGCTTCCAGCCACTGCCGCCAGACTGTCCGTGCTGCCCCGGTCGGCCAGCTTGCTTTCTCGGGGCGACAAAGTTCGCCTGCGCCAAGAGTTCTTGGGACCGATCTGCCTCCTGCATCGCCTCGTTGTGCAGGATGTACGAGGTCAATTTGTCCTTGCTGAGCATCGCTCTCATGCTCGGCGCCATCGACAGCCGCTTCAGCAAGTTGTAGCTGCTTGAGAGTCCCCGCATGACGTGGGTGATGTACGATGCCGTCGAGTACTGCGCGCCGGCCATCTTGATGGTGGCAAGAATTCACCGGGCTCGGTTGCAGTAGTCGGTCGCCGTCTCCTCGTCGCCCATACGCAGGTGCGTCAGCTGCCCCTCCAGCTGGGAGATAAACAAGTCGTCAATGACTTGGTAGGTCGACTCAATGAAATGCCACGCCCGGTGGCCGGAGTCAAGGTACTCTCGGCACCACTTCAAGGCGATCTGCACGCCCGACGAGCAGCACCGCGAGATGACCGTGAAGGTCAACAGATAGACCGCGCGAAACTCCGCCCGCAAGTTGGGTTGGTGCTTATCCGGCGCCGCCACGGTCCCTCGGGCGAAGCCGATCAGCCCGACCATCTCCAGCTAGGGCTCGATGGCTTCCTTCAAGGTGAGTATGTCGAGTCGACCAACAAGCGGCGGGGTGACCAGGATCCTGTCCGGCGTAAACTTGAAGTAGGCGTAGCTTGGAGCAATCTCGCCCACTGTCATTTGGGCGCCGTCATCGGCGATAATCTGCTTTGTCATCCTTTGACGTCGCCCTGCGAGGAGCCTGCAGCCGCCGACTAATGGACTGAGGAGGAGTTGGTTGAATGCACTCACACTAGACCATCTTTATAAGTGGTTCAAATTGGAGATGGTAGCTAAGCCTAACGGACTACATGCACACACACTCACACACAAGCAAACTCTCATTCACACAATCACACATGCACTCATGACACTGCTACTCACACTAGTGCAATGCCATGCCACACATATTTGTAAGCTTCCAATGTGCGCTCTCGGGAAGTCTCTTGGAGAGAAATTATGTCGCCTACTCAGTAGCCTTCACATGGTGAAGCTCAACAATCTCCTACTTCACCATCTGCCTCACCTAGTGCCACTTAATCTTCATATGCTTGTTCAGCCCATTCAGGATAGGATTATTGGCCATGCCAATAGCAGCCTCGCTGTTGGAGAAAAGTGGTGTAGGTCCCTCCTATTCAGCTCCCATGTCCTCCATCAGCTTCCTCAGGAGCACGATCTCATTGATGGCATGGTACATTGCCATGTCCTCTTTCTCTCCTGAAGACCGAGCAGTCTCACTCTGCTTCTTGGACCTCCAGCTCACTGGTCCACCTCTGACCATGCACACAAAGTCGCCAGCTGATGACAGAACCTCTTCCTTTGAAGCCCATGTAGCATCGGTGAAGCACGACAGCTTCAAGGTTCCATGCGTGACCCCATCTGCTCCAATCTGTTTCAGCTGGCCACCAGCTGAAAACTGAACACCAGCAGATGTCGTTGATCCAAGGTAGCGCACCAAGCACTTTGCCACCTCCAACTGCTCAACATTGGGCCGCTGCACAACTCTGGCCAGCTACCCCACTCCGAATGAGGCATCAGATCGCATATGCACAGCTGCATACATCACACTTCCAATGAGTGATTGATACTCATTCTGCTGCTCATCCTCGAGTGCATCATCCTCCTCAGCTGCCTTCTTCAGTTTGAAGCCCGCAGGGAACGGTGTCACCAAAGTGCGACCCCCAGTCACACCATAGCGCTCCATGACACCAGAGATGTAGTGGGACTGATGCATCTTCAGCCACCTCCTCTCAACATCCCTCTCAATCTACAGCCCTAAGTAATAGTGGATATCCCCCAGGATCTTGCACTTGAAGTTGTCCATCAGCAGCTTCCGTGTCCTCTCAATCTGCTCGATAGAAGGTGAGAACAGCAGTATGTCGTCGACATACAGCAGCAACACGAGCAGCTGCTCCCCCTCTCCAAGTAGAAATAAGTTGTGATCCGCTTGGGACGTCTTGAAGCCTCCACCCAGCAGCACCTCCTCCATCTTCTTGTACTAGCACCTGGGCGCTTGCTTAAGGCCGTAGATAGCCTTCTTGAGCTTGCACACCCGGCTCGTCCCATCCTTATAGCGGTCGGGCTGCACCATGTAGATATCCTCCAACAGTATTCCATTGAGAAATGCGGTGGTGATATCCATCTGCTTCATGTGCCATCCCTTCACAGCGGCGCCAGCCAGCACAGTCCTCAATGTCACTGGCTTAACAACGGGAGTGAAGATCTCCTTGAAGTCGACCTTCTATTTCTGCTGAAACCCCTTGGCGACCAAGCGGCTCTTGAACCGCTCCAGCGCACCATCAGCTCCACTCTTCACCTTGACGACCCACTTGCTGCTGATTGGCCGTCGCCCCTCGGGTAACTCAACAAGCTCCCAAGTCCCATTCTCAATAAGATTGTTAAGCTGGGCATCTATGGCAGCCTTCTATTCCTCCTTTTGGGGTCCACTCAGTGCCTCCTCCACTGTGGCTGGTTCTCTAGGCAATGGTGTGAAGAAACAGAAGGCCATCTCCTCATCCTCTCCCTCATCCGCCTGAACCGCCATGGCACCTTGCTTGGGTCCTCCCAAACGGCTATACTTCAGACTTGAAGGTTGCACTGCCACTCTCTTCTTGCGGGCTGCAGTCCGTTGCTCATGTGGTGAAGCTTCTTTCTACACACTCCTCTTGGTAACCTCGGCGGTTGCAGCAGGCTTGGCCTGAGTCGGTGAGTCCACACGCACCGATTCATCCTCCAACCCCTCTTCCGCAGCAGGACCAGCACCTTGCTGCTCACCACCGCCACTGTGGTCACTGGTCAGCTCTAGCTCAGGAAGATCCTCAAGGTGCAGCTGAACCTCCTCCACTGCAGACAACTCAATCTCGTGCAGATGCAAGCCAATTTGCACCTACTGTTGCTGCTGCCAGTCTTTGTACATGACGTCCTCCACAAAATTGACATCACGGCTGACCAGCGTCCTCTTGCTATTAGGGTCCCACATCAACCACCCCTTTGAGTCAGGAGCCATCCCAAGATGGACAACCTTTCAGGAGAAACTTCCAGCTTGTGCCTCTGCTCGTTGGGCATCATCAGGTCCCATGCAGCCCCACACGCGCAGCATGTCAATGGATGGCTTCTTCCCAAGCCAACACTCGTACGGCACCCAGTGCTTGTCGCCAACATTTGTCAAGACCCTGTTCTTGACCGTGATGACATGGAGGACAGATTTAGGCCAAAACTTGTAGGGCATCCCAGCAACCCCCAACAAGGTCTTAACCGCCTCGCCGATGGTGCGGTTGGCATGCTCAGCAATGCTGCTCTGCTGCGGTGTTTCTGGGTAGGTCAGCTGGTGTCGAATATCGTTCCTCTTGAGAAACTTGGTGAATTCTACTCCAAGGAACTCTCCACCACGGTTGCTCTTCAGCACCTTCACCAGCCGCATCGCTTGCCGCTCCACCATCGGCAACCAATCCTCCTTGATCGTTGCTGCAGCGTCGCTCTTCTTGGACAATGGACGTGCCCATGCAAATCTACTCCATTCATCCATCATGGTGAGGAAATACAACACTCCTCCAGTCCCCTCAGTCATCATAGGACCCACCAGGTCCATGTGCACCACCTCCAATGGCGCCTTCACTGATCCCTTCGCACGTGGAAATGGGAACCGCGAAAACTTGTTTTGCATGCACGCCTCACAACTGCCAATGGAAGCGCCATCTCCTTGCAGTTGCAGCCCATGCACGCACTTCTCCTTTTGCATCACCTCCAATGTAGAAACAGCCACGTGTGCAAGCCGCCGATGCCAAGTTTCCCAATCCGCTTGGCCCGAGGTAGCCGACGCCTTCACCACCGCACTTCATCCAATCAGCTACTCTCCTTGCACACCTTACCGCTCCTCCTCGGTAACACTCTCCTCCATAGATGCCGCCACTGCCGCCTTGCCCGATATCCGCCAAGGGAGGACTCGGATCTGCCACATCTGCTTGTGGACATCTCCCTTCTGCTTCAGGTCCCAAATGAGGCGCTCGTCGTTGTAGGTGTTCACACCCTCATCTCCCAACCGGTCGGTAGAAATCAGGTTCGTGCACAAGTCCAGCACCCACAGCTCGTTCTTCAGCCCCAAGAGCTCTCCATCCGCTCCCATGAACTTGGCGCATCCCATGCCTATGGCCCTGGCCTTGGCGCCCATCGCGGATGTGACTGTAGAGATGGGTGCAGGCTGAATCTCATCGAGTAGGTCCATACGAGCAGTCATGTGCCAGGAGCTTCCCTAGTCAATCACCCAATGGGTGAGGGGGTGTAGGAGAACCTTAGCAGCCATAGCGAGGTCGGTTGCGCCTTCATTCACGAAGAAGAACCCAGACTTCCGCTCCTCTGATTTGCCGCCTTCTCCTCATCCTCCTCCTCTCCACTAGCTCCCATGACTCCCCCACTCCTCTTTCCACCATGCTGGTTGCTTGATGAACGCAGGGCCCAATCCTTAGGTCGTTGGTAGCACTTCCGCCAACGATGTCCGCGCTTCTTGTAGTAGAAGCACACCTCCCTTTGGCCTCCGCCACCATCCTCCTTAGGGTTGTCCTTGTTCTTGCCCTTCCAGTTCTTCTTGAAGCCACTCTTTCCACCTCCAACTCCATAGCCAGCCCCCTCCTCCGAGTGCTCCACACTCCGACACCGCAAGTCCTCCTCAAGGATGCGCCCACGAATGTAATCCACGCTCCATTGGGGCTGTTGAGAGTTGAGGTTGATCGCTAGAGCATACCACGACTCCGGCAGCCGTATCCCAAACTCCACGCATTGCACGAGCTCCGGGTACACCACACCGCCACCTTGGAGCCTTGTAAAGATGTCCCGCATCTCATCCAACAATGGTTGCCTGCCCATAGCGCGTTACCCTGCTCGTAGCGCCCTACCGTGTTCATCGCGCTGCCCCACCAGTTACCTTGTCCGAGCGCCGCCCTGCTGGCTGCCGCGCTGCCTTGCCCTACCCTTCGTTGCACTGCCTAGCGTGCGCTCTGCCCTGCCCCGCGTCGCACCTCCTTGTGCACGCCCTGCCCTGCGTTGCGCTGCCTGTCGAATCATGCGCCCATGCTGCATCGCTCGTGCGGGCTGCCCCAGCCCGTCGCGTTGTCCGTCCGCCCTGCCTCTGCCCGTCGCATCGCTCGTGCAGGCTGCCTCAGCTCGTCGTGTCGCCCGTCTGCCCTGCCTCTGCCCGTCGCGTCGCCCATGCAGGCTGCCCCAATCCGCCGCGTCGCCCCTCCGCCCCGCCCTTGCCTGTCTGCTTGCCGCCCCTGCCTGCCCGCGCGCCGCCCTGCTGCCCGCACTCAGCCCTGCCTCTGCCCGTTGCGTTCACCTTGGCAGCCCGCGCACTGCCCTGTGCAGCCCGCGCGTTGCCCTTGCCTGCCCGTGCGCCCTCCCCTACTTGCACGCCGCCCTGCTCTGGCCGGGAGCTACCCTTCTCTGACCGTGCGCCGCCCCGACCTACCCTAATGACCGCTATGACGTCTCTTCGAGGTAGCGGTGGGAGTGGTGGCTGCGGTGGTGCCAGCAGTGGGAGCGGTGGCGGTGGCTGTAGTGGCAGTCTCGATGGAGCAGTTCGGTGGGGAGTTTCACGCGGTGGCCAGATGCAGCTCCAAGGGCGTCCGCGCGAGACCCTTACATCCTAGCAGCTTTGTGAGTGGTTCGATACTTGGAGTAGTGGCGGCGGCCGTAGTGGCAGTCGCCGTGGAGCAATTTAGTGGGGAGTTTCTGGCGGTGGCCCGATGCAGATGCAGCGGTGTCTGCGCGAGACCCTTACGCCCCAGCAGCTTCGTGGGTGGTTCGCTCAGCGTGGGGCGTCTTGGAGTACTGCTCGCTGCCCATACGTCACTTGCACAGGTGATCGGGCTGGTCAGACTTGCGGGAAAGTTGGTCATACACAGTCCCGCTGCTTCTCTTGTCTATTTGACGCCTGGCGTGCAGAGTTTGGCGACGCGGCTGAGCTCCCTCGCTGGCTGGAGTTGCTTAGGCAGAGGGTGGATATCTTTGCTCTTGGCTATGATGGTATCTTCACTGCCATGTATGCATTGACTCTTAGTGGTGAGGGTGACTGTTACCTGTGTGTGGCGCCCAACCTAGGCATACAGGCTGCTACTCTAGGAGCTTGTGAGTCTGCTCTAGGTGCTGGTGAGTCTGCTCCAGGTGCTCGTGAGTGTGCTCTCTCTGGTACTGCACGTGCTGAGGCCTTGCACACCTTCACGCTTGACTCATGCGCTTCCTTCTGTTTCTTTCGCGACAGTACCACAGTTACACCACTCCCTGCACCTGTTGATGTCTCTTTGGCTGACCCCTCTGGGGGCCCAGTTCTTGCCTGTTCCTCCACTGTTCTCCCGTGTCCTCCTGTTCCACCTGGCCCACTGTCAGGTCTTCACCTCCCCTCGTTCTCTACGAATTTGGTGAGCACCGCCGTCCTTCAGGATGAATGGGTTGATACGTTCACCCCTCGCGGACAGCGTGTGACAATCAGTACATGCTCCCGGACTGGCCGTCACCTGGCCACGTTCACGCGTCCGCCTGGGTCAAGTCTGTACACACTGACTACTCAGCCTCCCCAGGTAGCTGCGTCTGCGTATGGTTCCTGATGTTTTGATCCCTTAGATCCGCGCTGTTTGTTTCAGCTCCGCGAGCGGTTCCACACGACCTTCTAGTCCTACGTCTGCACTCTGACAGAGGTGGTGATTTTTCCTCCGACCTCTTACGGGACTTCTGTCCTGGGGAGGGCATTCTCCAGTCGTTCATGCTTCTGCCCTCTCCGCAGCAGAATGGGGTTGCTGAGTGCCGCATTGGCTTAGTGATGGAGGTCGCTCGTACCTCTATGATCCATGCGGCTGCCCCCCATTTTCTATGGCCATTTGCGGTCCGGTACGCTGCGCATCAGCTCAACCTCTGGCCTCGTGTCTCCTTGCCAGAGACCTTGCCTACGCTGCGTTGGACGGGGAAGGTTGGATATGCGTCAATGTTCCGGGTCTGGGGCTCTCGTGCCTTAGTCCGCGATACTTTCTCGGACAAGCTCTCCTCCCGCGCCATTCCCTGCGTCTTCCTTGGTTTTCCCCTTGACGGGCCTCGCTGGCAGCTTTACCACCCCACCTCACGCCATCTCCTGCCTTCTCAGGACGTCACGTTTGACGAGTTGGTTCCCTTTCACAGTCTCTTCCTCTACCGCACTGCCCCTCTCCCCCCCCCCCCCCCGCCACTCTTCCTCACACCAGGTCCTCCTCCGGTGTCTCAGGTAGACCTTGTCGAGCCTGTCAAGGTCGCTGTCGACTCCGGTGCTGCTGGGGGTGGTGCTGCTAGAGGTGTTGCGACTGGGGGTGCTGCGCGTGAGCGAGCGGAGCCTAAGTGTGCGGAGCCTTGGGGTGCTGAGCCTGGGGCTGCTGAGTTTGAGGGTGCAGATCCTGGGAATGCTGAGCCTGAGCTTGCAGAGCTTCGGGGTGCTGGGCTTGGGGGTGCTGAGCCTAAGCATGCTGAGCCTGGAGGTACTTTGTCTGCTAGAGGTTCTCCGGGTGCCTCATCATGGCGGGGGTCTCTCTCTCCACCGCAGCTGCGCGAGTGGTTTGTGCAGCGCTAGAGCCTTCGAAGTGGCGCTGCTGGAGCTGGGGGGGCGGGAGCTGGAGGCACTGGAGCTGCTGGTCTTGGAGGTGCTGGAGCTGCTGGTCGCGGAGGTGCTCGTACTCGAGGTACTAGAGCTGCTGGAGCCGGTGGTACTGCAGGCGCTGGAGCTGGAGACCCTGGAGCTAGAGCCGCTGGAGCTGGAGGTACCGGAGGTGCTGGAGCTGCTGGCCCCGGAGGTACTGGAGCTAATTGTCCTAGAGGTTCTGGAGGTGCTGGAGGCTCTAAGGGTGCCTCGTCACGGCGTGAGCCTCTCTCTCCACTGCAGTTGCGCGAGTGGTTTGCTCGGCGCTGGATTCTTCAGAGTGGCACTGCTGGAGCTGGGGGGGCTAGAGTTGGATGCACTTCAGGTGCTCGTATTGGAGGTACTGGAACTATTGGAGCCGGTGGTATTGCAGGCGCTGGAGCTGGAGACCCTGGAGCTGGAGCCACTAGTCCCGAAGGGGCTCGTACTGGAGGTACAGGAGCCGCTGGAGCTAGAGGTGTTGCAGGCATTGGAGCTGGAGGAGATGGAGCTAGAGCTGCTAGTGGTGCTGCTGTCGTTGGAGCTGGAGACTCTAGAGCTGGGGTGCTGGCTTTGGGGGTGCTGGTGTTGTCGGTGCTGGTTCTGGAGGCACTGTGCGGCCGCGACCATATTTCGTTCCACTACTTCAGCACGTTCTTGATCTCCCGTACTCTACTGGCCTTACTCCTCCCTTACTGTGTCCACCACGTGACCAGTCGCAGCCGCACTTATACCCAGCCTCCCCTCTGCCTGCTCCTTCTCCTTACACTAAGTAGACTGCAGGTCTTATAAAGCGTCGTGAGCCTGCATCTCGTCCTTTCTTGCCTGTTCGCGTTGTTCGCACTGGTTGTCGTATTCCGCATCCGCGCCCTCCTGCTATCCCCAGCACCCACCATATGGCACTCCGTCCTTCCTCCATTCCACAACGTGTCCCCCTGCCGACTCCTCTTGCGTCCTTTCTTGCTAATGGCCCGGACCCTGAGTCTGACTTCCTTCATGCTACCAGTCCTATTGTCGTACGTCTTCTAGCCACTATTGTCACTGACCATTCTTTTGAGTCCACTGCTGCGTCTGCCCTAGTTGCTAAGCTTGTTGACTTTGCTACTGCCTGTCACCTCGACTACGCCCCTAGTCTTGTTGCTGAGTCCGAGTCTGTCTGTCCTCCGTCTGTCAGGGGTGAGTGTGCTCTTGGCACAGACGTCCTTAAGGACAGGCAGGAGGAATTTGAGTGTTTTGCAGCTGCTGTACCTCATTTCTTGTCCTTGCTAATTGCACCTAAGGGGAACCCGGATGCACCAGACATCCCGACCCCGCGCTCTTACGCAGAGGCGATTATGGGTCCCTACTCCCCTCAGTGGCAGACAGCCATGGACGCAGAGATGGCATCGTGGAAGTCCATATGCACTTACGTCGACGAGGTTCCCCTTCATGGGGCGAACATAGTTGATGGCACGTGGATGTTCAGGGTGAAGCGGCCACCGGGTTCTCCGCCTGTCTTCAAGGCGCGTTACGTTGCACGAGGCTTCAGTCAGCGACAGACTGAACCCAGGGAGTTGAATTCTTCCAGACCTTCTCCCCTACCCCAAAGATGACACTGCACTCTTTGGGTGATACTGCACGTCGCCGCTCAGCTTGATTACGAGCTTCACTCTCTTGACTTCAAAACATCTTTCTTACAGGGCAGCCGGCATCAGGAGATATAGCTGCGCCGCCCACCTGGCTTTACTAGGTCGTATTCTGCAAGTACCCAGTGGAGCCTCTGGCGGCCAGTCTACGGTCTCCGCCAAGCACCTCGCGAGTGGCACGACACACAGAGGACGACACTTGCGGCTCTTGGGTTTGCTCATTCTACTGCTGACCCGTCACTGTTTCTACGCTGCCGCCGTTCTACATCCTTGTGTACATTGACGACTTGGTCTTTGCCACTGCTGACATTAAGGGACTCGCCCACGTGAAGTCGGAGCTGCAGAAGTGACACACGTGCATAGACCTGGGTGAGCTGCATAGCTATCTTGGCTTGCAGATCACCCGGGACAGAGCACGGTGCACCATTATCTTGACTCAGTCACACATGGTGGAGCAGGTCCTTCAGCGCTTCGAATTCCATTACTCCTTGCCAGAGCCCACTCCTCTACCTACCAGTCATTCGCTCTCAGCTCCACCTTCCGACGAGTCCGTAGAGCCGAGTGGCTTGTATCCAGAGCTT